ACGACTGGAAGTCCCAGCTTCCTAATCTTGACATTCTAAATGCAATTCATCATTGAAACTTTCCTAAACTGTCACAGAACACTCTACTTTTCCCTTAAGAAGATACTATTTTTAAATTACATAATTGTTCCATTTTTTGTTTTGTCTGTTTCTACTACCAGCGTATAGACTCCAGGAAGGCAGTCTCCTCATTGTATTGCAGAGCACCTGGAACAGTGCTCATCATTTACTAAGTACTCCTGAGAGATTGTAAATGAATGACCACATTCTAAGACCCTGTTAATATAATACTAGTCACAAGATTTTTAGGGGGTTAAACGAGCTTTTAGTTGTAGGTTGGCCTACTAACCTAACCACTGTACTTGTTTCTATGAAATGAAACCTGTAGTGTCAGGCAACCCACTTATGGAGAGATACATATCATAGGGCCTGTTTTTAATGCCCCATATTTTTAGGTATAGAGGGGCTTTAGTGCAGAGATCTTAATTTGAATGCTAGTGACTAGTAGTGAGGCTATATGACCTACAATAGGCGCTTAACCTCTTCAAGCTTCAGTTTCATCATCTGGGGGAAAAAAAAAGGAAAAAGAGAACAATAAAAGGCCACTGTGAAGATTAAATTCATCTAATGCTATGCTGAAGGACCTAGTTCCCATCATCTCCCTCTTTAACACACTGCCCGTTTTTTCCTATATTACAGACTCCTTGAAGTTTGAAACCATAGTTCATAGTTGTGCTGTACCTAATGAATTAGCATAAACTGCTTCACACACATAAGAATCACATATTATAGTCTAAAACTCTGTTACGAATATAAAAAAGAAATATAACATCCATGAATTGTTCTGAAACATTATATTGCTATACGCAATTATAATATTACAGTATCAACGTACCCAACAATTTTAAATATCAAATATGTAGTAATATAGTCTAAGATTCTTGGTGGCAGTTATGTTACATTCCCTATCCTTGCTCATAGTTCAAACTGTGATAATCTATGAAGAAACACATTTTTTTTCCTCACTTGCAACCTTAAATGGCTATGTCAAACTAGAATTCCCTTTACTGCAGGTTGGTTTGAAATTCCAAGCACACATTATATCCAGCTATCGCAGATACTGAAATGAAACTTCATTAGTCAAAAATCAAACACTGCTCTATTTGCATATCTAAGAAAAAGTTCAATTTTCAGAACTTAAAATTTTAAGTCAAGAAAACAAGCAATATGAAAATATAACCTCACAAAATTTACATACTACTTTTATTACCCTGCAAAGACGTTTTTTGATTCCCAATTCTGCCGCATAAGACAATGACCTTTAAATAATCAGAACAAAGTTTCTCACTGTTCAGAGAGCATTGTTTTAAGATTTACTTGGCACTTTAAGTTAACCATCTTAAAGCTCTGAAGCACAAATAGTCAGTGACACATCCATTTTAAGCTATATGACCTGTCATTACAGAGTCATTAAGCAATAATTTCAAGGAGCAAGCAGAAAGCTTTATAACTTTCAAATATATTAAGATTATCCTCTGTACTTCATAAGCTAAGTTATTTGGATATTTAAAGCTACACTTCATAAATTATAAAATTCACTGATAATTTTCTGCATTCTTTCTAAAGATAAATAACATGAATTAACTGTTAAAAAGCAATACAGAAACCCAATAATCAAATCAAACACTATATATATGTGTTTTTATACATACACGTGATGATTTCTAAGCTGGCTAGCTTAAGGAATACAGAAAAAATATTCTTCTCAGAAAGAAATTATTTATCTTTATGATAAATAATGTCCAAATATTAACATTTTTTGACAAATGGATTTAAAGTAAAATACATTCTCTATATTATCTATTCTTTTACCTAACTGTAAACTTTTATTAAAGAACCAATTTCAAAAATTATATAAAGTAAACTGATTATCCAATTCAACTCTATACAACTCTTAATTCTGACTAGGTCCTTTGTTGACACAGCTCTCCAGAGAAGATATGTTACAAAGCACAAAATGCAGCAACAGAAAGAAAGCACACACAACTCTGGCACTACCCACTTCACACTCATCTGTGGTTATCTATACAAAGTTTAAAATAGTTGGCATGATAGGAAAGCTAAGTAGCTTTCCATATTTCTCACATCATGTCTTCTTGGCCCTTGAGTGAATCATTTTGCAGACTACTACAAATTCCCAAAATATTATAAAACCCAGAGAAATTTAAAAATGGGATGGAATTCAGAAGTTGCCATTTCCAGCCAGCCTAATTTAAAGGCATGAAGACTGAGCTCCATGGTCTTTAAAAAGGTCAAGACACAGCCTAGCTGTGTCTTACCTCAACTCCAATCCTCTTTCACCGTACTACCCCCAGAGATGCAACGGTCATTTGGTGATAACACCAAAGTGTTATCCAAAAATAAATTTTTTTTGGCAGTATGCCATTTTGAACCACCACCAACATTTGTTCAGAAGAGAAATAATCTGAGAGTTAAATGTACCTTTGGGAACAAAAGTAGAAACTCAAGCTCTTTAGGTCTTTCTTCTTGTTAAGGGAACCTTCCAGGAGCACCAGATCAGGATTAGCAGGAGCATCAACACATCTTTTATTGATCTATCTTCCCTCTTCCCACAAGAACAAAACCCACCCTGTTCACTATATCACAACGTTTCTTTTAATTTGATCAATAACCTCCTTTCTTCATCTAAGAAAGAACCAACAATGAGAAATACATCCACCAACATCAATCACTTTCCTACTTCAGACTCCTATCCTTTCTTCTCTGAACACTCTAAATATAGTTCACGTTCCTGCTGTTTCTCATCTTGATGTCTTTGCAGACTATAAGCTCCAAAGGCATGTTTCTGTTGTTTTATGTGGTGTGACATGGAGATAGTAATTCTTCTGACTACTTCTATGAATAAGATGAGATTCAGACATGACAATATATGTGAAAGCACTTGGTAAATGGCAAAGTTTAAGGCAAACGTAGTGCCCCTATCATAAGAGAATGATAAAGCATCCCTAGTTGCTCATATACAAGTTAGCAAAAAATTTCTAGGAAATTACGGCCTACATTAGCAATTTAACTAATCTTAAAAGAAATGAGTCTGATACACCCAGAAAGAAAAAGTAGTAGCACCTAACATTCAGCAAATCATGTATTTGTCCATGATCGTTTTACTTCAGAGAAGTTTAATGAGTGATATATTTCTATAACATGCTCAATTTTAGAACAAATCACTTTCAAATATAAACTATTTACTTTCAGGCACAATTATTGGTTGTCTACTAATATCACATGATTAAAACCCCGCAATTTAAAAATGCCATCAGAATTAAAGTAAAATTATTATAACTTTCTTAACATTGTCCTCATTTTCCTGAGAAACTTACTTGAGCATGACACTCAAAGAAGGTTCTAATTTGTTTGAGTCAACATAAAAGAAAATCTAATCAAATGGCTAGTAGAACAAAAGAAAATTCAGTCTTTTTAACAGCTCAGTTCTGAAATACAACATTTTCAGCCCACACAGAATAACATTTTGTACTATCGAATAAAACATTCATCTAAGAATGTACACATTCACAGGAATTAAAATATTATTGAGAATTACATTGTTACTTCTATTCTTATAAGATTAGCTAGGGCTTAAGGTACAGTAAAATTACATTGGATAAAAATAAATAAACTCTATCAAAAAAACTTTCTTCAAAAATATCAATACTACATCCAAAAAAAAGAAGCATCCCTTTTCATGGCAATACAAACTCACTTTAATACAGGATGAAAATAGCCACTAGGAAAATACCTGGTGACTCGGCACTTTATTTATGCCTTTATTTTTTAGGCCATCTAATAATGTATAGCACAATCTCTAAATAAGAGATGTAACTGAAAAATATCCAGAGAAGAATCACATCATGAAATCTTCTATGCCTGGATCTTCTGCCTTCTCTATTTCTATATCCAAATGCAATCATTCCTAATACCTATAAACATCCCTTGACATTTTACATAAATACCATTCTGAAAAATTTTAAAACCGTACTAGTAATTATAATTTAATGGAATTATGGTGTGATCTTAAAAATATCACTTAGTAAAATACCTTATTAGGCCCAATGAAATAAAGGTGACTTTAGCTAGGTATCTGTTATTATTAATAAAGTATTGGCATCTCAATCAAATCTTGTATTTCAGTATTCTTTCAAGCCTCAGTTCCTTAAAATTAAACAAAAAATTTTAAAACAAGCTCTTAAGTAAATAGTTTCTAATTTAAAACGAATATAAAAACCACCTTTATTTTCCCCTTGGGAGGTAAAAAAATCTTCCTACATACTGTTGACCTCAAGCATTGTATTTGTCTCCAAGTACTACCAAATGAACACAGAACAGAAATTAGTTTAATGTTCTATAGAATTAAAAGTCAGGACAAACTGGTCATCTCTCCTTTGTAAGCTCTAGTGAAAGCCTTTTATTCAATCACAAACAACCATAAAACACTTGTATTTTAAGACTTATATTTAAATAAACTAAGGCAAATTACAATGCTCCAACAGATGTTTGTGAAATAATTATTTATTTGTTTGTTTTTACTTTCAGCCCTGTCATTGTTCATCCAACCATAACCCAGCTTCACATCACTTTTGCTTCTTATTAACAGCTCTGGTCAAAATACACATGAACAAAATTCACTTTAAAAGAAAAAAAAATATGTTAACATGCTAAAGACAAAATACTATAATGCTCTATCACCCAGGACCAAAAATGTAGTTGTGGCCTTCAATGATCTAATTTCCAAATGTATGAATGTCCAGGCAAATAACATAACTATATGAGTGTCATCTTTCCTCTCAAAATTACAACACTATATAAAGGATAAATACGATAGACCTTAAAAAATTATGACCATATCTAGAGATACAACTATTCAATGGAAGATTAATTACAGCATTCAAATTACCAAGGAAAAAAATCATAATTAAAAAACTCACTTTATATAGTATCTTGCACCTTCAAAAGTATATGCTTCTTCCCAGCCAGTAGGCAAATCTAAAAAACATACATTTCACAGTTAGTATTACTTCAATGGGATAGCAAAATAAGTTTCAATCCATTTTAATTATTCATCTTCATGATCAGCTATTTTCATTTATTAAGTAAATTTCTAAAAAAAATGTTGGACTGGTAACAAAACTCATAGTCAACAAAATACCATTTTTAGGAAAATGGCGATTCAAATTTAAAGCCACAAGAAAACAATGAACAATATCAGAGATTATCTTACATGATTATACACTTTAATGATCACTGAAAAAGAACTACTCTCTGGCATCCAAAAAAAAGCAAGGGAAGCCTTCTAATCCCACGTAAAATACCCATGATGGTTGGCCAAAAAAAAAAAAAAACTCTGCGTTAAAGGCAACACCTGCTTCTTCTTAGGTATACTGTGTCTATTTTAAGACCAAACCTTTCAGCTACATAAACGAATCAATCCAGGAAGTGTCACTGATGAGAAAAAACTTCCTAAGTCCTTAATTAGGGGGAAAGAGCTCTGCCATCACATACTCAATACAGGTACGTTTCTACAGACTTGACTTCAAGAGATGTGAAGTTTCAAGTAATAAACCTGGGCACAATTCAGGTGAATGATGGTCATTTTATGTGCTACACATTACCAATGACAAGTGGCTTGGATTTAACCGTAATATCTCTCTGAAATAAAAACCAATGATGTGTGTACAAAACCACAAAGTCAAAGCAAAGTAAACCAAACCAGGAAAAAAAAAAAAAAGATCGTGTCTTAGAAATTAATGTGAAACCAAAGAAAGAATAAAATTTTTCTGTAGTGTGAATGTTTTCAAATCTGTGGGGGTAAACAGGATACAAATTCGTATTACACATAACCAAAATAAGCATGAAATAATCCCACAAGATGATTAGGATAAATAATTTATATACCATATTGTCTTTTGTGAAATAACTTTATTATCCATAACGCAAAGAGGCCATGAGAGTTTAAATATATATGCAAAACACTGAAAGGTATACTTAAGTCAGAGACTGCAACGGGCTGTTAAGAAATATGACTGTGTATTAGTCAGAAATGCCTTAAAACTGTAACCTCACCATGCTTGCTACACCAGCTTTCCCTTTCCTCCTCCACCTTTTTGCAAATATGGAAATTAGTCATTTCACTGAACTCCAGAATTTAATAGAAAAGGCATGCTTGTTCAATATCCTGGCAACTCTAAGAGACTCACCGAATCTCAGAGTTGGAGAGAAAGTATCCCAGAGGACTGCTGAAGCCAGCCTCACCTTCGACCCAAACAATTCTCAAGCCTTTCCAATCACCAGAAAGAGAGGTAGGCCAGTAAGAGAACTACATGTTACATTTCAAAGACAAACAAGTTTCACGAATGTAAACAAAGAATGACAAAAGACAGCCAGACCAGCACTGAAGCTACCATCAACCTTTCTCCAGCTCAACTCATATTCAGTATTCAAACAAGCCAGCAAAGGCACCGACCGGAGAGATCTGCTTCCCCGCCGACCCTCTCCAATTAGGGCACAAATGCCCACACGCGGGACACCCCCTAGCACACCCACCGCCTCCTGGCGGTCTGTGCAACCTCTCTACCGCTGCCGGGGACTTTGAATCTCGCCCGCTAGCAACTGCAGCTGCAAATGCCTCCTCCGGCTCCGGCTGCCGCTCTGGCGGCAGGAGGAAAAGCGCCAAGCGTTTCCTGAGCGATTCACTGTCACACAGAGGATCGCAGCACCCCCCAAACTCCTCTCCTCCTCCTCCTCAGTCACCTACCCACAAGTCCCACCTAGGAGGAGGAGGGAGCCGCACGACTGGAGGCAGCTGTCCGGGGAGCAGGGAGAAGATGTGGATACCATTATCCCGGCGGACGAGTGCCAGGGTCCGGGGCTGCAGGGAGGGCAGTGGGAAAGGACTTCCTAAAGGTTGAAAGGGAGTGAGGTCAGGGGGTGGGGGTGGGGGTGGAAGGATTCAGGAGTGGCTGCGGGAGGAAAAACTCGGGATCCCAGATTCCTGGGAGAGGGGAGTCGGCCTCCCTGGGGGCGTCGGTGGGGGGGCGGGAGGTGTCCAGGTTGGGAAGGGGGAGAGGGCCCAGGAAGAGGGCGCCGTCTCCAAGCGGCGATGAAAGGCTGAGGAAAGAGAAGCGTTCGGGGACTCGAGAGAACTCCCGCGGCGGGGCTCCTGCGGCCCCTCTACCTGCGGCCGCCCCCGCCGGCCTCCGCCCCACTTCGCCGCCTCCCGCGGACGGCGTCTGGGGGCAGGTTGCGGGGACGCGGGCGGGCGGCCGGGGCTCTGCCGCCTCCTCCCAGCGGAGCCCAACTCCGCTCGGGCCCGGCCGGGCTCAGCGTTACCTGTGCTCTGCCGCCGGTGTCCGGTAACCACGGCCTCGCCGGTGACGGGGTGCAGCCAGGTGGTGCTCTTCGCCTCCTCGCTGCACGGATGAGAGAAGGGGCAGAGACGGAGCGTGAGTGGGGCGCCGGAGGAGCTGAAGCGGCGCAGACCCGGCTCCCTCTTCCCCTCCCGCCAGCCTCCCGCACCCTCCGGTCCCCCGCGCCGCCCCCTGTTCTTTACTTGATGAAGAAGACTCGGCCGCCCCTGGTGATCCCGTAAGTCCAGGACCGGGGCAGGGAGCAGATCCACTCCAGGTTCAGATCCGCCGCCATGTCTGATCCCCAGCCGCCGCCGCCGCCGCCGCCGCCGCCGCCTTCTCCTGCCTGCAGCCCCGGCTGCCGAGGGAGGAGGGAGGGAGCGAGCGAGCGAGCGAGCGAGCGAGCGAAGGGAGCGCGGAGCGAGCGCGGCCGGAGCGCGCCTCCCCGGCCCAGCGCGCCCCCGCGCGCGCCCTACCCCCTCGGGCGGCGCCCGCCCCGCCGCCCCGGCTGGGTCGGGCCCGCGTCGCCGCCCCTCCGCATCCTCCGCGGCCGCCGGCCGGCCGCCCCGC